CTCTCTCACTGGCTGTATTTTCAGGTCAAGCAGGGGAGACGTGGATTCACTGCATGTACATCAGTAACGACAGCTGTCGCAACAGCTATCGCTTTCAGACCAGCTCGAAGTCTGGTCAGGCTCAGCTTCTTATTAGCACAAGACCAGGTATGAAGTCAAAACTCACACACACACGCTTTAACTTGGGGTGATATCCGTTGATACCTCTGCTGCACTAGTGCACCCTGGTGTATTTGAGTCAGCAAGCCTGCTGTCAGTGTTACAGCTGTAATTTAGATTTCCCCTCAGTTTCCATCTCACTTTATGGATTTTTCTTTTCAATCATCCACAAACACACACACACACACCTCCTCACGCACAAACACGTACACACAAACACACAATTTTAAACCTCACAGTTCACATTTGCCCTCAGTCTCGCACACATTATTATTGCACATCTAAGTGTTACAGATCACCCCGCCACCCTTACACCCCACCCTTTTCCAATTTTTGGAACAGCACTGCTCATTGTGCATCTCCCCCCCATCTCCCCCTATCCCCTCAAGCTTCCCTCCAACCACCCCCTCCACCCCCCACACCCAACGGGACACTCTCTTCCTGCTCACACCCACTCCTCCCGGGTGCAGCAGGAGCCAGGTCTCTATGGTAACTCTGTTACAAAATGTCAGAGCAGTCTTTGGGCTCTTTGTGTCGAGCAATCAGCCCGTCATCCACACATGCTCCCCAGCAGATACACAGCCAGCTGACTGTTCAGTACCGCAATAGTGGTACAGCTGCCGCCGAGCGAGCTCTGTGTGTGTGTGTCATATGTCATTTAAATGAGTAGCTCTGCTTTGTACTGCCTTTTTGTCTCCCCTGTTTTTCAGTGGACAGTCTCTTTCCTCTTTTAGTAACTTTTATTCAAATTCATTCATGCAAGTCCAACGTTTACATCCAAAACATACCATACCCAGCCTACACCTGGGTTTAGAGCCACTGAAATATACCTGATTAGCTCTTCACAGTTTCATATTGCTGAATCTGTACTTTTAGTTTTATTTAATCTGTACTTTCATGTTGCTCAAAGAGGATTTTGATCAAAAATACTCCAAACTTTTGTCCCCATCAGTGAACAATACAATGTTAAAGCTCTGCACAGTAAAACTGAGTGTGTTTATGTGTATGTGTCTACAGACTGTGTCAGCAGCAGCCTTCGGCTGGTGAGAACTTTCTTGAGCGTGTGCGCCCTGACCGTGTTGTGCGGGCTGGTGGTTGTGGCCGTGTCCCGGCTGTTGCTGCAGAAGAGGCGGTGGTCACCAGGGGGCACTGTTGAAGATGCAGGGTACCATTGCACTGGAAAGGTTAGCTCTCTGATATCCTTGAGGAATTTCTCAGTGCTGTCTGATTTTAAATGAGAGCCAAAGTGTCCCTGGAGCCCTGAGCAGCAAAGGTTCATTAGGATATTTATGTGAAGTAGTACCGGCAGCTGAAACCAGCAGTGAGGAATGTGAGTGTGCTCTTAGAGGTACAGCTGTGTTTTACATTTCCTCCCAACTCCCAGCTCAGCATCTACAGTTTCCAGCTTTCTGACCTTATAATGACATACAGCACTTTGGAGAAGAGGAAGATGGGAATTTCTTAGCAATGGTTACTGGTTAGGGGTGGCGAGGGGGGTTCCTGTTTATGGCACTGCTGCAGATCATCTTAATGATACTGACGATTGTGGATTGTGTTTAAGAATCAGGACCATCTGTCTGGTTAACATTTACAGTTCTTCACTGATTTTTTTTATGTCATTTTACTGTCAGGGGGAAGTTTTGCTTTTGAGTAACAAAGACTTACTCTCCACTTCTCAGTCATGGGAAAGGCCACATAGACTTTGAGTTTACCTGCCTAATATCCACCAAGGGTTAAGTTTAGCATGTTTAGCCACATGCTGAACTTTCAGTAAATAGGGGACGCATTTAGATTTCAAATAAAGCCACAGAGTTTCTGTTAAAAGCTTTTCCACGTGGGTGTTTGAAGCAGGTGAAAATGCTATAAAAAGGGGAGGACATTAACCAAACCCAGTGACCTGGTGGCTGTTAAGAGGTTAAGATCCTCTGTGTACCTGTAAAGGCTCCAGAAGGACTGTGAAAATGACCCTTAACTCATAATCTTGGCTTTACCAACAAATCTTTACCAGAAATAAATCACAATTAAACAGACTAACACTTTGAGTTCTCCACTAATATGAACACTCACAAGCTGTAACCACGGAAACATCTGTCACACATGACATGTAGGAGTCATGTGGGGGGGAAAAGGCAACTTGTAAAGCATTATGGGAACCGTAGTATGTAGTATTTTGGACTAATAGTGAAGAAGTCTTCTGAAGTGAGCATCTGTGTTCATCTCAGACTCCAATATTACTGACTGCATATTTCTGTTGCCCCCTCCCCTTCCCCACCAGGATCTGTCATACATTCCTACAACCAATGAGAAGACTGTCACCTACAGGAGGGACCATCCACCTGATCGCCCTGTGGAAATGCACATTCAGGTTCCTAAGATGCCCCTGGGTGACCCCTGGCAATAAAAGGTCATAACAAAGGCAGTAGAGACATATAGAAGCAAAGCTGGACTCAAGGCTTCTTTTCTGCCTCCTAACCTTCATAAAACTTTAACCAGCGGTACGTAGTACGTAGAGACTCAAGCGAAGTAAACTATGAAACCTCCACGGGATTTTATTTGTTAATCGAACTGACCAAACTTTTATTGACTGTGTGACTGACGCGGCCAGTATCCTGGGAATCCTGGAGATGAAGACGAAGAGCACAAATTCCCCACCTTTTGTAGGAGCAGGGAAGCTACTTCACCTTTACAGGGTGAAAGTTGATCACTCCGTGCTTTTTAGCCATGCATGAGTAAGTGTGCATGTGTGAGTGTGCATGTGTGAGTGTGTGTGGTGCAGGTGCACATATGCTTTCTATTTATTTGATAGTGACAACACTACATATTAATAAAAAATAAAAAAAATCATGTGACTGTGCCAGACTACAATAATCCGACAGTACTGTCTCCCTGTCTTAGTCTGCCCCCATGTGGTCAGTGTAATGTACGACATTTTCTTTCAAATAACACACATTACTGACCTCAGCTGTGTTGCCTTGCATACACCAAGTGACTAAGCAGCTTGCTTTTATTTTATTGCGATTACATTTTAGTCACGCATGGCGAATCTTGTCGTTTAATGTTTTTATTTCTGTTAACATCGGCTGCATTGCAAATTAGTGTTATATCATGGCATTGTGTAATGACAAGCAAGAATACTTTCATTTGATTGTCTTTTGTTAATAATCTGGTTAGACTTGCACTAGAACAATTGCATTTTACTACTGAAAAGTGTGGGATCTCTAGGCATTAAAGGTACCTAAGTGTGTTTAAAGCTAATTCACTGGAGGAGTGGATTAGCTCCACTGGAACACTGGAATGACAATGGATATAGATTTATATTTTACATACTGACATAATGGCAGTTGTATCATCAAAAGCCTGAGAATGTGAACTCTGTATCAGAATAATGTCTGCATTTACCTGCTGTTTCACAAGTATAGACTAATACACAAATCTGCTCCAAAGGTACTGAGATCAGAGGTGGAACTTCACTCTTCAGCAAATTTAAAGGATTAGATCCTCTGAAACCAGAGTGCCAGTTTCGTGACTTGTTGAGAGACTTTGCTTGCCCACTCCTGTTCCTCTTTTTTTTTTTTAACATGTTGTTTACAGCATTAGCTGCTCTGTTTTACTGTAACCTCGGAACACTAATGAATATTTATTATGATTCTATTATATTTTTTATGTTTATTTGATTTGTTATGCTATATTTGAGTAGCGGTAAATAGGTAGTGAATACTGTGAGCTGTCTCTGTTTCTAAAACTGAAATGAATTCAGCAATAAGGTATTAATCATCTCATCTTACCGGGCATTATGTTCGGAGTGACAACAGCACTTTCTCTGTAGTTTTGCTGTCGATTAATGTGTAGCATGACTGTTTTCATTCCAATAAAAATGTGCAAGAGTTTTTAAACTGTTTCTTGAACTGTGTTTTATTAATTTATAGTTATTCTATTTAGTTGTATTTATTTAGGCCCTGTGGCCCAAAATTTCATGTACATTTTTTTTTTTTTAATGAAAAATAGGCAAAAACTTTTTTAATATTCAACCATGACAGTCCCTGAAGACCTACACCAGAATTGAAGCATGTATACAACTCACTACACATTTTTAATATCTGTTTGTTTAAATATATTTGTGTAGATGTGCCAAAGATTTTTACATTTTAATTTATTTTATTGGTGCAACAAAAGATTGCTGCATAACCAGGACCTGCATTCAATATTACAGTCCAAGCCCATGTGATCCAAGCAGCTGCTGACTGCATAAACTGAACACTAGGTGGAGATCTCCACCTACACAACTGTGTTTAAAGCTCACTGTGAGTATTCACTCCAAGTCTCCTACTCTTTACAGCATTTTTTAATAGCAACGTCTTTTCATGATTGAAACAAAAAACTTAAAGCAGATTTTCCCCCCCCCCCCCATAAAGCAGCAGCTGACGTCACTGACTACAGAACTCTTTGTATCTAAAGGTGCAGATGTGCAGATGTGCCTACTTAAATAGAATAAAATTGTTAAATTAAAAAAATAGAATTGTTATGTATGTAGTTTTTTTTATGGTTTTATATATAATCACTGCAAACTGAAAACTAAGACTTTGCTTCTGAGGCAAATTGTAATATACAACAAAACTTAGATTATTGCATGTGAATAGTTGTTTTGTTTTTAATTGAAAATTGCCCCATTTATTAATCCCAGTGCAACACAGACTTTCAAACACGAGTAAATTATAGAAATGTAGTCACTCAAACTTTTTTATAATTTATATATTTAATTACTATAATAATGAAGTAAAAGGGGATTATGAAAGGCTCGTTTTTCTTCCTTTTTTAAATTAAAAAAAGAGAATAAATTAGGCAATAGAGAAATTAAAAAAGAAAACAAAAACTAAACGACAGATGAGTAAAAGATTTTTCATAGAAAGGTACAAATAACAGATGAGGTATAAGCAGAGTGATCCATAAAGTGCTGTTTCAGTTCAGAGTCCACGGCACGCTGTAAAGCAAACAACCCACGTGTGGATTCGTCGGGTTCAGCTCTGTGGATTATTGCACCGCTCTCTGTCCCTCGGTGCTGTGCAGTCTCAGTCCAGGGCTCGGGCTGCCGCTATTGTCCGTGTCGCTGGTGCCCTTCGTGAGCCCCGGCTCCCCGCCGTCCTCCGGACTGTGTGTCCTTGCGTGCTTGCTGAGATGGTCAGAGCGCATGAATCGTTTGTGGCAGAGGGGGCACTCGAATCGCTTCTCCCCGGTGTGTGTGCGCAGGTGCCGCTGGAGCTCGTCAGAGCGCGTAAAGCGTTTCCCGCAGAAAAGCCAGTTGCAGACAAACGGCCTCTCCCCGGTGTGCCAGCGCAGGTGGGCCTTCAGGTGCGAAGTTTTGCCGTAAACTTTACCACAACCTGGGATGTGGCAGCTGTGCAAGCCCCTCCGCCGGGGACTCGTGCGCCCTTGGCCGAGGCTCTCCGCCTCTTGGCAGTTTGGACAGTCACAAGTGGTTCTACCAGAGTAGCGCCGTGAGGAGGAGCGGGAGGATGGGGGCAAAGAAACGACTGGGGAACCTGTGAGAGGAGGTGCCGCCGTGACCGGAGGCTCTGTGTAGGCTGCGGGAACAGGTGGTCTGAAGCCGTCGAAGAGATGTTGCGCCGCGGGGAGCAGGTGCTGAGAGGCACCAGGGCTGAAGTTAGAGCTGTAGTCACTGTAGCTGCTCAAAGGAGAGGGTAACCCGACTGTGTTCTGTGCGTCCACCCAGCTGCTGCCCATATCCCACCAGGCAGGAGGCCCGTTACCAGTATCCCCCACGGGTTTGAACCATGGATCATAGGGATGTGCATGCATCCTTGGATATATCCCGGCTATGCTTTCAACCGAGGAGGGAAATTTGGTCAGAAGCACGGGCCGCTGTGCGTGTGTGGAATTGGGAACGCAGTTGTCCGGTGGCACAGCGGGCTGGTACATCGAAAAATCATTCCCTAAAGAAGAAGTAGCAGCTGTCACAGTGAAAGCGCTAGAGGCGTCATTCAGTCCGGTCCTGCTACTCCTGGAGGTCCCAGAAGAAACCCCAAACGATGTGAGGCAGGCACCCAAGTTGCTGGTGACTTGCGAGCTCCTTCTCCACGGATGGAACCCTTTGACGGGTCCGGGGGCTCCCTCGGAAACAGTAGGGGAGCACGAGGGGCTGGGCTCCCCAATCCTGCTGCAGGTTTCGGCCAGCATGGCCAGCGGGGTGCTGCCCAACCGTGGCTCCTCCTGCGGGAACACAAAGCACGCACTTAGAGCCAGCACGCCACTGAAACCATGTGCGCAAAACACGCGTAAAATGAAGCATGTAAATCAAATGAGTTGGACACAGTCTGCAAAACACAAATGAAGCTTACATTGTTGTTGTTTTTTAACTTAACCAGCAAAATCACAGCAGGTGGGATAACTTAGTAACTTATAAAACTTTAACTATGGTGGGCAAATAATCTTTAAAAAAAATCGCTTAACTTTTCCATTAGACGTAGCAACTCGCCATCAATAGCGCAAGCTGTGAAAGCTAAAAATGTAGATGGGAAAAGAACTAAAACTCGGTTAATTTAAATAACGATACTTTTATTATAAACAGCGACATTTAAACGAGATAAAGGAAATAAAATAAATATTAACCGAATAAGCAAATGGACAGACCCTTTTAAGAATTTGCTTTTGCCAAAAAATTAAAATTAAAATAAAAAAATATTCAGAGAAAAACAAAAGTTGCGTCGAAATGCAAACTCACCCCAAGCAGTGTGGCAGCCATGGACTCCGTGCAGTGATATCTTCTGCTGTCAGTGTCTGTGTGTGCTCTCGGTAGCTTGCGTGATCGGTCTGTTTTCCTCTCTGACTGCTTTGGTAGTAGTTGTATCTTCCCCGTGGCTTTGAAGTGGCGCTAAGCATCCGCTGGCCAATCAGACATCAGCTGTCATCGTCTCCAAACATTCGTGCTCGGGGTCGTCATAAATTTCAAACGTTGTAAGCGAGTATAGTTTCAAAGTAAGAGTGAGAGAATAGTTTAAAGTTTAAGGCATGAAATTCAAAAGGAGACACTGAAGCAACAGATGAGTGCGCAGAAACGTTCTTCCTTCTCACCACTTGGTCAAAATACACGTCATAACGCCACAAAAAGTGGCAGTGAATAGTTCCGTGACTGATTTAAGGCATTTCCTCATTAGGTTAATAAAAATGTAGCAGCAGTAATGCCATTTAGTTTCACGTGTATTTATATTTGATGCTCCATGTATTTCGTTACTGGACTTCGAACAGCGCAAGGCTCCATGATAAGGCAAAGTAGGCAAATTGCAGCTAAAATCCCCCAAACCTATTCACTGCCAGTTAAATTTAAAGCTGTGTTAAGGTGAAGTTACCCCTTAATTTAGCAATAAAAAGGCAACATTTAATAAACTAAAAAGCAACTATGATGGCATAAGGGGATTTTGTGCCATCGGCCAAGAAAGATAATGCGTGCTAGTAAACACAATAAAATACACAAGGGAAGCTTTCTGTGCATGTAAAACAGCAAAGCGCAGTTTTGTTTTACTTATGTTGTGAGTTCACTCAGAGGGAAAGGCTGATGAATGGGAGGCTGGTCAGGTCCGTCCCATCCTGTCCCTGGGGCGTATCCAGTCAGCCCTGGGGGAGGGAAAGGAGGATACCATCACTGCCTCTACAATTTCATCTTATTCAACACAAAACAAATTACTTTTTAAAATAAAGCACCTCTTTCTGTTCTTTTCCCCAATTTTATAACTCATTTAGACACTTGGCTAAGCTCAGACTAACAGTGGGAGGAAGTAACTTTTATTATTTGAATAGATAGTCCTACACTTAAATCAGGCATGTTTAACCTTTGTGATGACACAAGCACCCTAGAAATAACCTAATGTAAGAGCAAAGGCACTTATATTTCATTTGAATTTCAAATGTAATAAAACAGCAGGATTCAAGCTACTTTCCTCATTTGCTTGATATACTGCTTTCCTGCCCTTACCTCATCGCTTTGACTATCCTAAATGAAGTCAGCTCCACACTCACAGAAAAGTTAATCACATCTCACAGTTTAAATCAAGCGGCTGCTAGTGTGCATAATTATTTTTGGTGTTGCAATGCAAAGTCCAATATATCATTTTAGCTTAGATTTCATGTACACTTCAAAATGTTAAGGCAGATGTTTGTTGTTTGTTTCTTGAAGGAAATTATTCAGCATATCCTTGATGGTTTAAACACACCAAGATACTAATATCTCAAACATATGATGTACAATGGATTGACTTACTTGACCAGTGGCTAGATTAGTAGTTTATAGGCCTAACAACTATTCTCCAGGAAAATAACAAATACATTGTTGGTCTGCTGTACTTGCACCTTTTTGTAAAATGTAGAGAAGCTAGACAAGCAGCTGCAAAGCCTTTTTCATTTTAAGTAAGTAAGGATGGCATGGTGCATCAGCTTAGATTAGAGGGGTACTTTACCCCAAAACCAAATTAAAATGTAATTTAATTTAAATTTAATTTAAAATTAAATTAAATAATGATACTTCCTACAGTCAATTTAGTTCTTCTGTAAATTGAACCAGGTGGCTTTTGTATGGAAGAATTTTTGTGCCACCAAAAAAGAGAAAAAAAAGTGAAGAAATTGAATTTCAAAATTTCAATTTAATATCTTAAAATTTTGACTTGTCCAGCAGAAACTAAAAATTTCAAGTAATTTAACAATTTCATATCCCAAATTAAATTTTTGACATAATAACCCAGAATGTTGTTTTGTTTTGTTTTTTCTTTTTTCTTTCTTGCATACATTTGCTTTGTTGTATTTAAAATAAATTTGAGTGAGGTCAATGTTTTTAGATCTTATCTCCCTGGAAGAGCTGCATAAACACTGGAGGTGATTCACAGAGACCAAAGATAGTGAATGATTTCGTGAAGCAACCATGAACGAAATAACTGCTGACGATGTGAAGTGGGCGGGACCTGTAATAAACTTTTGGGCAGACGACTGAAGTGACTACCAATGAGACTGAAGAATACCGTTGACTGACATAAAACCACCTATAGGGTTACCTAGGAAACTATAACCTGCCAGTCCAAATGACCAGCTGTCAGTTTCAGAGAGAAATATGTAACAAACAAAAAGCATTCAGTATGTACGGTTTAAGGGGCGTGGCTATGTTGACTGACAGGTGTCCCAGTACAGGCAGCTGGCTCAGTGTGCACTAGGCCGACCAACCTTTGTTTGTGCTGCTGCTGTCTTTTTGAGCTTTATATCTGTCATCTCAAAAATATATATATGCTTTAGTTTTGAGTGAAACTGTAGCTCTTTATTAGCACTAATTAGCCGATATGTGTGTTTGTGAGCTGCACCCATACAGTTTGAGAATGTAACGTGCTAAACAAGCTAGCTAGCATTAGTTGTTAAAGGGGAATTCCACACTTTCATTCATCTAATGCAACTTCTCAATCCAGGAAACCAAAAACAAAACAGTGACTGCCATGTTGAAGCTTCAAAATGCAAAATCTAAAAGCAGTGGGTGCCACCGTGATGTCTTTGGTTCTCTTTCATACCGTCTACACTTTACACTGAGTTGTTTCTACAATTTCTTAGTTCAGTTTGTTTTGCAGCTATTGCTAAATCCACTGTGCTGTGGTGGACAATGTCACAGCTTTCAACTTAAAATTGGCTTCATAAACTTGATATGCTGGATTAGCTTCAAATGAATATTTGCTTACTCTACTTTGAAATGAAACCCAGAAAATAATTTAGAAGTTGGGCTTCATAGCTGTAAAATTTTGGATTTGGGTATTTTAGTTATTACAGCGAAATCACAAAAACACACACCTCTCAGCAGACTGGATGAAATGAGAGGCTCTGCTTTCCCCCACAGCCTCGGGCAAGGCCATATGCACAGGTGGAGTTTACAGTGGGCCATCTTCCCCTAAACCTAATCGCCATCTTCACAAGCCACCCAAACAGCTGTCCCTCTTTTCGAAGCATTCTTTTCCCACACTGAGAGTGTGTGCGTGTTTTTGTATGTGTGTGCTTTAAAGGCCCCCAGTGAAACCCTGTCTGAGCCTCAACCTGCTCCTTTAGCCACGATAATGACCGCATTATCACGCGCCATCGAACGTCAACAAAAAAAGATTGTCGTGGGCTTTCCAATCACTTTGTGGGCACTGAGACAGAAAGAGCTGGGAGAAAAGAGTGAAATAAAGATCTGGCACTTCTCTGGGAGAGGGGTGGGTGAAGTATTTTATTTCTCCTTGCTTTTTCTTCCCCATCTCCTCCTTTTGTAGGTTGGAGCATAGTCAGGAGTGATCCAGAGGGCAGGCCAGCCATCTTGGTCAGCTGCCCTGCTGAGACAATTAGCGGGAGAATCACAGAGTCAAACGACAAAGCTGCTAAACATGACAAAAAAATATTCATTGTAACCAGGGGGTAGCCACTCAATTTTAGTTAAAAAAAAAAAAGAAGCATAGGTTCCAGACCTTGCGACAATCAATGTGAGGACACACATTAAGACGTTAAAATAAAATAAACTTTCTTTTCTAAAGTGCAGGAAAAGTCATCCAGGTGAGCTGTGCGCCAGGATGTGCCTGAAGCAGCTCCTCCTTGGCTTCCTGTAATTACTCCACTGAGAGGGCACGTCCGCAGCCTGTCTGTCAGCACGGAGCTGATGGACGACTGTAGCAGCAGAGTCAGGGAAATTAGTTTGAGTTGTTGTGATGAAATCATAAGATTCACCCCTCTTTTTTTTTTTTTTAAGAAAAAACCATCCCATAAAGAATCAGTACATAGTGAAATCTCTTCGACTCATTTACCCTTTGTATGCTTTTAATCTCTCACATAGCGTATAGCAGCTTATTGAAATTCTAACGCTTATAAATGATACAATAGCAAGAAAAGATAAATATAAGGTCATCAGAGGAGGACATCTTAAAAAGTCCAGTGCTTTAGAGTAATGGAAAGCAAGCGTAGAGAGGACTGGTTTCCATTGGTTTCATAGATTATCCCTTTGGTTAGTGGATACAGTGACAATAAGCTGCCCTGAAATCTGTAGAAGTTTACCCTCATTTTTCTGTCGCTCTCATGCACATACAGGGGTCAGAGAGGGCATCTCTCATCAGCCCGTGCAGCAGATTGAGGGAATCCAGGCCAATGTAATTACACTGTTGAACGGCTTCATTCGCATTCATGTATACAGCGCATATACATACACCAGCAGACAAACCCATTCATGAAATTAGAAAAAAAAAAAAGAGGAGGAGGGAGGATTTGTCAGTGAGGAGAGAAAGGTTGGGAGGATGAGTGTGTAGACACCTCTGCCGAGTTTGTTTGGCTCAAGTTTTGGGATGAAGGTGAATTGAAATTGCACTTTATGAGCACTCTCTTTCCTCTCTTTATTCCGCACACACACAGACACACACACACACACGCTGAGGGTTAGTGTTGATGGATGCTCGGGGTTTGTTAAGTCGTACATCACAGAGGTCATTTAACCTGCCAACACATCTGCTGTCTCTGCCCTCAGAAAGACAGGAAGAGGTGGAGTGAGAAGAAAGATTTATAAAGGTGGGGAGGAGAATTATGCAGGGTGTGAGAGAATGAGACTGTGATTAGTAACTGGAGTGGATGAAAAGCTCTCATTCAGTCTCACTCGGAGTTTCACTCATACACACACACACACACACACACACACACACACACACACACACACACACACACACGCATGTTGTGCTGAAAGTGGTATCTTTTCAA